ATCCAGAATTTCCACCTCTAACACAAATCCCCTTTTCATTGAAGTGCGTTCCTGTCATCGCAGTCTTAATATCCTCATTATTATTATTATTATTACTTTTCTTACTTTTAAGCATTGTCCTTTCGCCTTGTAAGAATTCCAAATTTCTCATATCTAGTGAAGTTATGTTAGTTTCTTCTCTGCTAGAATATATTTGTTTTAGTTACAAAATTACAGGGTACCTATGAAACTAAATACGTTGTTAGAATCACGTATACCAGGAACAAGACAGTTTCATTTATTCATCTTTGTACGTAGGAATGCTAGACACTTCCACTTTCGTTATTGGTTAATTAAGCTCTTTCGTAAATTTTGAAGACGATTAAAAGTGAGATTATTGATATGTCTGTTATCTGACCAATTGTTTTCTGACGCGGGAGTGTGCTACACCTACGTCAACGTAGTGTAAATCAGGGCAACGTATGCTAATATGGCAAAAGTATCTAAGCTATCAGTTGACTTCTGGATTCAAACTGCTACGTACCGACTGCACAGCTTATTTCACAACTTCCACGTCTACAGTTCTCACTTCAACTTTCCCTCCACTTTCCGCGTTTCTCTCTAACATCTGTGAATCACACTCTTCTTTTCTCGGTCACCAATTTTGTGACTTTGATCCTCCTCTCCATTATGAAGCCCGACGCAAACAAAGGAACTAATGATAAATCTAAAAACCAGCTTTTTCTACTTAATAAAATAAACATTCTGGCGTAAACCACAGGGAGGTCAGGTAACGATGGAGGAGCTGCAATATTTCATGTCCACACACAGTTCAATTTTGTGACAAAATAGTATCGTTATTAACTGCCAACACAAAATTTATTCAAAAAGGGATTTTGGTGCTTCACGACTTTCAATTTCCCACCATCCCAAGACATTATGCTTGCCCGTCAACTTCATCGCATCATGCACTCTTTCAAATAACAATCTGTTGAAAACGAAGAGAAAAGAATGTGGAATACTGAAAGTAGTTGTAATAATTTAAAGCAAGCTGTTGTACACATCCAAAAATGCTTGAAATCCCAGTGTTTCTGCCGCATCCATCAAATCTGCAAATTCACTCCGATGTGCATCAAGAAAGTCCTTTTCGAATTCACCAACTCTGTTAATCATTCGATTAATGTCCCGATAGTCAATCCATTCACACAACGCCAACATGGACGCCTTGGATACCGTGTCCATGACAAATGGGTCCTCTGTAACTATGAAACAGAAATGGAAGGGAAGTCAAATATTAAGCCAGATCAACCCTCAAACTGGTGAAACTAACAACAAGCATGATGCAACTTCGAAAAGTGAAGTTGATTTAATTTAAAAAGAAAATGAATCAAAAATAAAAAATATATGTACTTACTGTTGGGATAGAATTGGAATAGAGAAAAGTGAATAAGATGCTCGTCTTTTAACAAAACTACTCCGTTATCTTCAGTGATGATTGTTTTCTCCATGTTGGATGGTGTAGATTTAATGCAATCACACTGGCTGATGTATCCATTCAAACAACAATATTCACTTCAGCTAAACTTCGAATACATTATTATTATAAATAAGGAGCCTCAATAATTAATTTTGATTCATTAAAATTAATTACTTTTGAGTATTTGATATTTTTGAAATGCAATACATGTTTAACAAACCCATTAAATTATTTAAATTTATTACTTAAATTAAATTGCTTTTCAAATCTAATTATAACGAATTAATATGAAAGCGATATATATATATATATATATACAAATATATTAAAAAATGAATAAATTAAGCTGCCTCGACTTTTAGCATCGATGACTTAAAGAACGGAAGAGAAAGTGACAGTTTGGGCAGTGAATGCATCGATGGATTATTCACTAAGTGTATTCGTAATCGGTTTCTAATAAATAATAATTACGTACTTGAGAGACTTCTCTTGGTTCGTTCCATTCCGATGCACCGAAAATGTATCATTATGATTGTTGAAGAGTAACCAAATGATGAATAACCTCAGGCTACAATTTGGCTTTGGCACTTGCAAGCATCTATTTGCCAGTAACTAGAAATATTGAAATCCTATGTTCGAATCAACTCTCTACAACTTTCAATTTTATTCACTCATTCATTGCCCTCATGTTTGGCATTAATAATTCCATGACAAACCCCCATCATTCGATGAGGCCAAATATGTTATCGATGATGGAATTGGTTCGTTTCACTAGAAAGAGGAATACATCGTCAAATGGGCAGTGTCTCCAAACGCGCATCTCCAATTGGCCCTTAACAGACCAAGAAACGTAGTTAATGTGAATATTTGGATATCGGCGATATTCAATGTTTATGCACATGTGGTCATGTGCAGTTTTATGGGGTTAATAGATTACATTTTGAAAATATCCTTCTCAAAATGGATCACCTGATTGGGTTTTAATCGGAATTAGAATTTCATATTATTTGTACTTCCTCAGTGACCCGTAATGATGGGGAATGTCATTTCGGATTAGATTTAACGTTTGTTTGAATGGAAAAATCACGATAATTAGACTTCGAGCTCTTGTTAAAGTGCCGTTTTGAAATGCCTCCATCCGAATATCTATAAAATGAGGGCAAAAGCAAAAAAAATATTTCTAAGATTTCAATCATGCAGACCATCTGAATGTCTTAATTTCTAAATTGGCATTGTTAGGCTTCGAATTCCATGTCCATGCATATACAGTCTTTTATTGACAAGACAAATCAACAGAACTTATTGATCAACATGTATGTCCAGTTTTTTCTGAATTCTTTCCCAAAGATGTATTTATACACGTCTCAATGATTCCCTTTATCAGTCATGAACGTCGAGGACGTTAACTTGTAGATTGTCACCGGAAGAGAGGTTGGATTATATGGAAATTAGACCTTTGTTGAAAATTGGCGTTATTCGGTGAAGCTCGAAATCTTTCAAAATGGTCATTTAACATCCAGAATTTTCTCCACTCCCTCAAATCCCCATTTCGTCAAAAGTGGGTCCAGTTCTTTGCAATGATTTATTTATTTCAAATGTCTTATTTTTTGGTACATATCATTAGCCATTTAACTGACTTCGGGCTTCACAGGGAGGCGGAACATCAAAGTGGGAAAAGGTGGGGAAGGTGAACAGAAGAGTGAATCAAAGATGTAAAAGAGGCAGACACACACGAAGGCAGAGAAAAGGTATTACGAGTACTGTAAATTATTATTTTTATTGTAAGACATTGTCCTTTCGTCTAGCCAGTTATCAAAATATCTAAAACGGAGTGTAGTTACAATAGTTTCTTCTCTCCTAGAATATATTTGTAATGGTTAACGAATTGCAGGTTACTTATGAAACCAAGCACGTTGCTAGATTCACATATACCAGTGACAAGACAGCTTCATTTCTTAATCCTGGTGAATAAGAATGCTGGACATTTCCATTGACCTGAAGAAGAGTGTTTGTCTTGTGAGCCTCCGAATTTCGACAGGAGACTTGAACGTCTTCACATTTAAATCTCCTTTCAAGAACATTGTATATTAAGCTGATATCCACTTTAATCTACCATATCGGATCAGCTGCTGCACCACTAACAAATGTACTTTATTCCAATCCGCGTTTTCATAATTGAATATAGCCTGGACGATTGCCCAGTAATCTCGATGTCAAAATATTCAAGTAAAGTGAAAATAGCACTTTTGAGTTGTATGATCACAGCGAACACGATTCATTGTTGGAATACTTTAACAGAATTTGAATGAACATCATTAGTTGAGAGAATGAGAAGTCCTCTACTCACATAGACTCGGTTTATTTCTTCGTGATATTTCGAGCTGCACAGTGGTGTAAGGGACAAAATGATACAGATCCATTGAACTCGAACCTGGGAGTATTTCGTTTCTGAAGATATCCATTTACAATGTGTTGAAACGTTGACGCATTTGTCCACATTCTTCTCCAACTGAGATCTCTGTTCTTCTTCCTTCTAACCTCCCACTGACGCAGTGCATGTAGTCGATGTGACATTTACTTCATTTAGCGTCATCCGGCAACTTCTCATCTTTCTTCGAATTATTTCCAATTTCTGATTTCTTAAGTGCCAAATTAAGTAACTTTAAAACCGAGCAGAGATGAGGCACAAGAATTACGACCGATTCGGTTTAAAGAATGGCGAGTACACTCGCATTTATTTCGCAATTCGTACTTGGTTTGAAAGGCACTTGGGCAGACCCATTCTCCACGAAATAGGCACAATCATCCCTTGAATTATCTGGGATGAAGACACAAGGTCCTACTTTATAGATTCATATGAAAAAGAAGAGCAATCTTTTTATTCGCCTATCTTGCAGTCCACAAGGCTTTCATTGCTCTCCATCTTGCCACCGGGGAACTGCCACTGTGCGCTATAGATGCCCCTCCACAGTAGACAATGTCCCCAATCCGCATCGCAAATGACACCTATGACAATGGGTGTGGAACGTCTGTGCCTTATGTAGTCGCCGAATCTCGATAGTCAGTTGTCAGCAGCTACGAATGCAGCAACGTGAGAAATGTTTTGTAGACGAATAGGAAGAAGAAGGAATCAACAAATTCACTTCCCCAATTCGTAGAATGTCTGACCACTGATCCACATATGGCCACTGTTGTAAGCGAATTGGTCTATGTACTCCCAGTGGGCTTTGCGAATCCCTTGGAAGACAGCATTCGAATCCTCATCGAAATCACGCTTGGATATTCGGTTGAGGAAGAATGGCGTGGGTTCCCTATTAGTATGATGTAGTGTCAATGAAGGACTCAGCACAACTCTACTGCAAAACAGCATTTAATATCTCCTTGCAAATGCGCTTATTTTCTGCCTTCGTCGTCAATGCAGATTTAAACACAACCTTCTGCAACATAGTGAAAGGTCCAAGTAATTTCATGACAATTTTATTCCACCTTCTATGTATGTCTCATTTGAGATCAAGTAAATTTCTTTTGCCAAATGTCAATTGTACCCAAAAATAAAACTGATGTAAATGCAGAAGATAATGTTAGAGTGTGATTGGTTGGGAGATGAGATGGATTGGTTGAGCTTATATCAACTAAATATAGAAACGATAAGATTACAAACCACGTATTACTTCTAATAAATTAGGCAAGGTGACCATTTATCACCTCCTTAATATTGTCTGAACTTTATAAAGAGTGAGGTCAAACCAACTTTTCAAAAGTTGGAGTTCAATATGAAAAAATGCATTGGAATGAACTAAAATTGTAATTGGATTTGTAATTGGGGCATCAGCAGATCCGATATTGTAGATTAAAGTGGATCTCAGCTTAATATGCTAGGTTCTATCATTGCATAATTTGAGAATGTGAGAATGTGGATGAGATGGAGTGAGAAATTGAAATATCTTAAAAGAAGATTTACATGTGAAGACGTTCGAGTCTACTGTCGAAATTCGGAGGCTCACAAGAAAGACGCTCCTCTACTTGTCAGTGAAAATGTCCAGCAGTCTGATGTACAGGGATGAAGAATTGAGTCTATCTTGTTACTGGTATATGTGAATCTAGCAACGTGTTTGGTTTCATAAGTAACCTGTATTTTTGTAACCATTGCATTATAGAAAGAAATCTGGACATACATGTCGATTAATTAGTTCTGATAATTTGTCTTCTCAATAAACGACTGTGGGGGCATCGCGATGGAATTTGAAGACAATCAATGCCAATTTAGAAATTAGGATAATCCAATGAACTGCATGTTTAACAATTTGAAAATGTTTTATTTCACTTTCGACATTAATTTAAAGACAAATTGAAGGAGGCAATTAATAAAGACACTTTATCAGAAGCTCGAGGACTAATAAATATAAATCTGCATTTGTACTAAAGACTTTTCTACACAGAATGACGCCCCATATCATCAAGATTCACAGAGGAAGTACAAATATTATGAAATACCAATTCCAATTAAAACCCAATCAGGTGATCCACTTTTGGAAGGGTATTTTAAAAATGCAATCTAATAGCCCCACATAACTGGTCATGACAACATGTGCATAACCATTGAGCTAAGATCATTTTACCAAATTTGGACGAAATCCAAACATTCACATTAACTACGTTTCTTGGTCTGTTAAGAGCCAATTCGAGATGCGCGTTTGGAGACACTGCCCATTTGACGATGTATTCCTCTTTCTAGTGAAACGAACCAATTCCATCATCGATAACATATTAGGCCTCATGGAATGGTGAGGTTTTACAAGACAATATTCATGCTAAATATGAGGCAATAAATGAATGAATTAAAATGAAAGTTGTAGAGTGTTGATTCGAACATAGGATATCAATATTTCTAATTACTGGCAAATAGATGCTTGCAAGTGCCAAGGCCAAATTGTAGCCTGAGGATTTTCATCATTTGGTTACTCTTCAACAATCATAATGATACATTTTCGGTGCATCGGAATGGAACGAACCAAGAGAAGTCTCTCAAGT